AACACTGGAACACACAAATATATAAGGCAAACATTTGGAGATCTAAACGGAGAGATAGACTGGTGTACAACAATAGTGGGAGACTTCAGTACCCCACTTTCAGTAATGGACAGCTTATCTAGACAAAGAAACATTGGAAGTAAACTGTACTCTACACCAAATGAACTTAACTGACATTTACAAAGTATTTCATTCGACTGCTGTAGAATATACATTCTTGTCATCAGTCAGCACATGGAACACTCTCCAGTACAGAGCATGTGTTAGGCCACAGAACAAGGCTCAACAAATTTAAGAAAAGACCCGAAAATATGAAATTACTAGAAGAGACTGCGAAAATGCTTTAAGACATCATTTTGGGCAATGATTTTTTTGTAAGAGACCTCAAAAAGCACTGGTAATCAATGCAAAAATGGACAAATGAGAGTAAAACTTCTGCACAGCAAAGAAAACAATAAAGTGAGGAGACAACCTACAGTAAGAGAGAATATCTTTGCAAACTTAAAAAAACTCAGCTCAATAGAAAAAAAACCAAATATATCTGATTTACATATGTGCAAATGATCTGAATAGACATTTCTGAAGGAAAGACACACAAAGGACTGATGGATACATCTAAAAGTGCTCAACGTCACTAATCATCAGGGAAATGCAAATCAAAACTACAATGGGATACCGTGTTACCCCAGTTCAAATGTCTCTTACAAAAAAGACAGAGAGTAACAGATGTTGGCTAGGAAGCAGAGAAAGAGGAATGCTTGTATAATGTTACCTGCAATGTATATTAGTACAGCCTCTATGAGACACAGGATGGAGTTTCCCAAAAATACTGAAAATAGAATTACCATATGATGTAGCAATCCCACTTTTGGGTATATATCCAAAAGAAAGGAAATCAGTACATCAAATATAAGTATATATACATTGCATTCTCATGTTTATATGCATTCTCATGTATATTGCAGCATTATTCACAGTAGTCAAGATATGGAATCAACCTAAGTGTTCATTGATGGATGAATGGGTTAAGAAACTGTGGCATACATATAAAATGGAAGATTATTGAGCCAGAAAAAAGAATAGAATTCTGTCATCTGCAGCAACATGAATGGGACTTTAGGACACTATATTAAGTGAAATAAGCCAGATACAGAAAGACAAATTATCACATGTCCTCACTCTTATGTAGGAGCTAAAGGAATCCATCTCATGGAATGTATAGAGTAGAATGATGGATACCAGAAGTTAGGAAGGGAAGGGAATGAAGAGAGGTGGGTTAATGACTACAAAAATACAGTTAGACAGAAGAAGTAAGTTCTAGTGTTCAATAGCACAGTTAGGATGTCTATAGTTAACAATTATTTAATGGCTATTTCCAAATAGATAAAACACATTTGAAATGTGCCCGAACACAAATAATAAATGCAGTAGGGGATAAGTATCGCAGTTGTCTTTTTTTGGTTATCACACATTTTATGTGTGCATCAAAATATCATGTGTACCCCATAAATATGTACAATGATGATGCGTCAATTTAAAGAATAGGCAAAGGTCTTAAATATACAATTCTCCAAAGAAGATATACAAATGATCAACAATTACTGGCCGGGCGCGGTGGCTCACGCCTGTAATCCCAGCACTTTGGGAGGCCGAGATGGGCGGATCACGAGGTCAGGAGATCGAGACCATCCTGGCTAACACGGTGAAACCCCGTCTCTACTAAGAAATACAAAAAATAGCCGGGCGAGGTGGCAGCGCCTGTAGTCCCAGCTACTCGGGAGGCTGAGGCCGGAGAATGGCGTGAACCCGGGAGGCGGAGCTTGCAGTGAGCTGAGATCCGGCCACTGCACTCCAGCCTGGGCGACAGCGCGAGACTCCGTCTCAAAAAAAAAAAAAAAAAAAAACAATTACATGAAAAGATGCTTCCATTATTGGTGTTTTCAGAAATGTAAATCAGAACCACTTCATGATGCCACTTAACACCCACTAGAATGGATATTACTTAAAAAGAACAAATATGGGTGGCGAGGCGGAGAAATTGGAACCCTTCTGCAGTGAAGGTGGAAATGCTAAACTGCGAATCCGCTATGGAAAACAGTTTATCAGTACTTCAAAAATTTAAACATAGAAATAATCGTATGACCTAGCAACTCTACTCCTAAGTATACTCCACAAACAATTGAAAACAAATACTCAAACAAGTACATGTATATACTCACTGTATATATTTATTAACAATACCCAAAAGGTGAACACAAGCAAACATCAATCACTTGATGAATGGATAAACAAAATGTGATATATACATATGGATATTATTCAGCTACAAAAAGAAATGAAGTACTGACATGTATTACAACATGGATGAAATTTGAAAACATGCTAAGTGAAAGAAGAAAGACAAAAAAGGCTACTTATTGCGATGATCAGTAGTGAAGGAAAGCAGATGAGTGTTTGCCAGGGGCTCGGCATAGAGTGGAATGGGGAATGACTGCTTCGTGGGTCCAGGGTTTTCTTTTGTGGTGATGAAAATGATTTGCCACTACACAGAGGTAGTACTTGCACTGCATTGTGAATGTACTCAATGCCACTGAATTTCACACATTTTAATGGTTAATTATATGTTATGTGAATTATATGAACAGTTTTAAAAAGTGCCAGTATTTTTAAACCTATCATTATTTCCAAGAATAAATAATTATATTTGAAAAGTACTCAAGTTATCAGTGAAGAAAACTTGTTTTAACAATTATACTATGGAGGAATTTGAACATTAGTTTATAAATGTACATATTATATATGCAAAGGAACAGATCATAATACGTAGCCCAAATATTTTAAAAGTGATTATTTCTTCTCACTAGGTTTGACCTACCATATGTTTTCTGCTTATAATTCTTATAAATAAAATATAAAAAAGTTATATTTTATAAATAAGTAAAATATAAAAAAGTTCAGGCACTCAAAAGTATATATTGATATGGATATATTCAAAGATTATAAGGTGATGCTGAGGATTTTGGACAAAATTTCAAATAGTATGAATCCAGTTATATTGAAAGTAAAATGTGTGCAGGACTCTGTGTATATTCATATCTGTTCATATGCATATATAAATGTTTAAATACCATATATATGTTTTTTTACACAGGATCAGACTGTATTCCCCAGGCTGGAGTGCAGTGGCATGATCATGGCTCAATGCAGCCTCAACCTCCTGGACTCAGGTGATCCTTTCACCTCCACTTCCTGAGTAGCTGGGACTACAGGTACATGCCACCATGCCTGACTTTTTTTTTTTTTTTTTTTTGGTAGAGACAGGGACTTGCTAAATTGCCTAAATTGCTAATTGCTAAATTGGTCTTGAACTCTCAGGCTCAAGAGATCCTCCTGCCTCAGCCTCCCAGAGTGCTGGGATTAGAGTTGTGAGCCACCACTCCGGCCAATGCCATATATTTTAAATTATGGTCAGTGTTATACTGAGTGTGCGTTTGAATACGGAATTTTTGGCCCACAAATTCATGTCTTTAATTCACAGACATTAATGAAACATTATAGCTGCATGTGAATGGTGTGAACACATCCATCTTAAAGTTTTCCTGGGGTTCACATCTAAGTGACTGAATATGAGACGTGCCTATTTCAATTATCATTTATTGAATTTTGTTTTCTTTCTTTTGAGATTTTAAAGATAAAATTTGAAAGTAAGAATTAGAGATAAAAATTCAGGAATAATTTTAAAATCCTAATTTTCAGAGGCATAACTATGTAAAATATATATATTTATATATGTTTATATATGTATAAATAGATTTTGTAGATTAAAAAGAGCAAGGTGAGATCTTAATTCTTAATGACTAGTCCAATCACACAGTTCTTTGCAAATATTTTATTGTCCAAAATCCAGAAATTGCAAATTTTATATGGCAATGTCAAAAACCTGTCAGAAATCAAATTTTAGAATGAAAATCTTCATTCATACTATGGAATATTCATACTAAAATACAGTGTATAGCTAAATCCAATTTAAATGTAAATTCATTGTGTTGACTATATATAGAACTTTTTACCTACGTATTGAAAAAAGGAATAAATATGGAAAAGGGTGTCAGTGTTTAATATACAGTTTTATAAGACTGCTTTTCTCTTGATCAGCACAAGGGTTTTTTGTTTTGTTTTGTTTTTTGTTTTTACTTCTTTGCAAATTCCACCTTTTTGTTGTTACTAATGAGAAAATATAGGACTGAATCCTAACTGGAAAACAGTAACACATATACACAGCAAAGTTATAGGGCACAGTCTTAAGCCATGGCCATTTAAAGACACAGGAAAATGTTTGTGTTCCAATGTTAAATAATGAAACCATGAGACAAAATCCTGTGATTCATCTGACTGAAATTTATAGTCATTCCTGTGTTTGTGTCCATTCAAGTCGGGTTCTGTGTCTCTCTCAAGCTTGAGAGCTATCTGGTCCCTTATCTCAGAGCTCCACTAAATGGCAGCCTCCCACTCAACATATAAGGCCCAATGCCTACATCAGAACACGAAATGGAACTCCTAGGGAACCTGGGTAGGGAGTCAGGACAAGAACCACATGGCCTGGCCAGGCACAGTGGCTCATGCCTGTAATCCTAGCACTTTGGGAGGCCGAGGCGGGCGGATCATGAGGTCAGGAGATCCAGACCTTCCTGGCTAACGCGGTGAAACCCCGTCTCTACTAAAAATACAAAACAAAAACAAAAAAACTGGGTGTGGTGGCGGGCGCCTGTGGTCCCAGATACTCAGGAGGCTGAGGCAGGAGAAATGGCGTGAACCTGGGAGGCGAAGCTTGCAGTGAGCCGAGATCGCGCCACTGCACTCCAGCCTGGGCCACAGATTGAGACAACGTCTCAAAAAAAAAAAAAAAAAGAAAGAAACACATGGCCTGGTGCCTAGATTTGCTCTTCTCCAAGACCTTAGGTGTCAACATTTGTTTGTTTGCTTGTTTGTTGTTTCCTTAGGCATGGATTCCTGAGGTCTGCCCCAATACTACAAGACAATTTGATATAAGAAAACACAGCAGATACAATGCTGAGTGAAGAAGAGTAGAAATGAGAAGATTGGTTGTGCAGATACTGAGTTCTTGAAAAGAGGAGATGCTTGATGAGAGTGAGTGGATTACACCCCGGTGTAATATCCAATGGAAAACAAAAACAAAATGCTAAGAGTGGAATAAGTTTACACAAATTGAGCAAACTGCTCAGTAGTTCTAGTTTCTGGTGGCTTTGTCTCTTCTTGGCCTTTTTTTGAAATGTGATGGGCGGGAGAATAGCACCTAGAGCAAAGTCAGTTGGCTTTTCCCGTACCATACTGCCATCATGCGGAGAGGATTTCATAGCATCCAAAGCCCTGAGCATTTCTTCCATGTGAGCCCTGGCAGTTGAGGAAGGAAAAGCCAGTGGAAGCTGAACAGGCCTGAGACACAATTTGATCTTCCTACCCTTTTCTCTGAGGCCTGGCAGAAGCAATGAACAAATGCAAAGTCTCCGTGAAGTATCTGCTGAATGAGGGACCAGGACTGAGCCAGCTGCTTCCAGGAAGTTTTGGCACAGGAAGTAGAGGACAGGGCTCAGTTTCCTCATAGTGGGGACAAGGCCAGAAAATGATACAGCCAAGTACAGACCCTTGGGGCGTTTATGTTAAGAATATGCCCTTGGGAGCTTTAGGCAACCTGGTTGTCCTTGTGTTGTGGGGCTGTGACATTTATAGCAGCAGTGTTGGATGGCAATAAGAGGCCAATTCCAGGAGCCATCCAATGTCACTCACACGGTCCTCAATACACTAAAATTATAAACACCACTGCCTATAGCTAGAGGGATCACTGTAGAGCAGTGAGGATACATTGACATGCCTATGTGGGCCAGATCATCTTTTAGGAGAGCCGATTTGTGAAAGTGGATGAAGGCCAAGAATGTAATGAAAGGACTAAGCAATTATCTGAGGGCACAAGCCAGCAGCTTCTGTGACTTTATAAGTACAGGAGAAAGTCTTTTCAAGCCATTCTCCTGTTTCAGCCTCCCAAGTAGCTGAGATTATAGGCATGTGACAACACGCTCAGCTAAGTTTTATATTTTCAGTAAAAGCGAGGTTTCGCCATGTTGGCCAGGCTGGTCTCGAACTCCTGACCTCAAGTGATCCACCTGCCTCGGCCTCCCAAAGTACTGGGATTACAGGCGTGAGCCACCGCACCCAGCCTTCAGTGTTTAATACACAGTTGTATGGCATTGCTTTTCTCTTGATCACCACATCTTTTTAACTTCTTTGCAAATCCCACCTCTTTGTTACTAATGTGAAAATATAGGACTGATTCCTAACTGATAAACAGTAACACACATACACAGTAAACTCATAGGACATAGTTGTAAGCCGTTGCAGTTTAATGAACCAGGAAAATGTTTGTGTTACAATGTTATATAATGAAACCGTAAAACAAATTCCTGGGATCTATCTGATTAGCATTTATAGTCATTCCTGTATTTGTGTACATGCAAGTAGGGTTGTATGTGTCTGTCAAGCTTGAGAGTTATCTGGACTCTTATGTTAGAGCCCCACTAAATAGCAGCCTCCCTCTCAACATACAAGGCCTACTGACTAGTTCTGAACATGGAGTAAAACTCCCAGGCAACCTGGATAGGGAGTCAGGAGAAGAAACACATGGCCTGGTGCCTAGATTTGCTCTCCTCCAAGACCTTAAATGTCAACATCTCTTTTTTTCTTTCTCTTTAGACATGGATCCCTGAGGTTGGTCCCCAATACTACAAGGCAATTTGATATCATAATAGAGCACTGCAGACACAATGCTGAGTGAAGAAGAGTAGAAATGGGAAGACTTGGTTGAGCGGAAACTGAATTCTTGAAAAGAGGAGATGCTCGATGAGGGTGAGTAGATGACACCTCAGTTTAATATCCAATAAATGCCAAAAGTGGAATACCTTTACGCAAATGTAGCAAAATGTTAGGTAACCATAGTTTCTGGTATCTTTGTCTCTTCTTGGCCTTTTTTTTTGAAACGTGATGGGCGGGAGAGGAGCGACTGGAACAAAATTAGCTGGCTTTTCTCGCACAATACTGCCATCGTGCGGAAATAGTTCCATAACATCCAAAGCCGTGAACGTTTTCTCCCTGTAAGCCCTAGCAGCTGCGGAAGGAAAAGTCGCCCAAGACAAGTTGACATTCCTACCCTTTTCTCTGAGGCCTGGCAGAAGCAATGGACAAATGCAAAGTCTTAGTGAAGTATCTGCTGAGTGAGAGACCAGGACTAAGCCAACTGCTTCCAGGAAGTCCTAGTACAGGAAACAGAGGACAGGGCCTCAGTTTCCTCATACTGGGGACAAGACTAGAAGATGACACAGCCAAATGCAGACCCTTGGGGCATTTATGTCATGAATATGCCGTTGGGAGTTTTAGGCAATCTGGCTGTCCCTGTGTTATGGGGCTGTGACATTTACAGCAGCATTGTTAGGTTGCAATGGACAGGCCAGTTCCAGGGACCGTCTATCTGAAGCCAGTGTCATTCACATGGTCCTCAATACACAAAAATTCTAAACACCGTTGCCTACAACTAGAGGGACCTCTGTAGAGGAGTGAGGATACATTAACATGCCTATGAGGGCCAGATCATCTTTTAGGAGAGCCGATTTGCTAAAGTGGATGAAGGCCAAGAATGTGATGGAAGGCCTAAGCAATTATCTGAGCGCACAAGCCAGCAGCTTCTGTGACTTTATAAGTTCAGGAGAAAGTCTTTTGTCATAATGGGACCCCGATGTCATCTCAGTTCTCTCAAGGAGGGCAGATAGGTGGCTCTTTCCTGTTCGATGTCCTTGAGAGGTATGGCATTGTTTAGGCCTGAGCAAATCATTGTGTACTGCATCCAAGCTTGTATTTTCTCTAGCAGCTTCAAATCCATTTCCTAATGAAGATATCCAACCTTTGGTATGGAGACCTCCAGATACTCTATGACTCAAAATTGAAGAATCAATAAGGGTGACTAAAAGTGTATGGGTGACTTGATCCTCATGACATTCTTCCTCAGAGTTTATTATCTTAGTATCTGAATTCTTAATGAAAGGAATTAATGTTAGTCTGGTTCTGCACTGTGACATTACAGTGCTTCAAGAGCTTGTTCAGGTATGACCTCTCCTGGCCTCTGAGGATTCAGGCAGGCATTCCAGGGTAAGGCATTCTAGGGTAGCCTGGTTTTTTTGACATCTTTCACTGTGTCTAATTGAGTGATGATCTGCATACGTAGATGCTATTGGCATGCACAAGTGTCTTGGAGACTCTCTGGGAAGCATTTCTCCGTGACCCTTGATATCTTACCTCCCCAGAGTATTTCACCTAAAGTAGAGTTAGACAACTGCTAAACTACCTCCTATGGAGGAATAGTTTGACGCGACCATTTTCTCGGAAGAATACAGATACCTGTGGGACAGTATCTCATATCTGAAGGTAGAAATGCTGGTGGTGCCAAACCTAGAATTCTTTAGGCTAAGTGATCTTTTATTCACTCCTTGCTAACTATGTTTAATAGAAGCTATGTGCCTGGGCAGTGGATGGAAGCCTGGAGTGGAAATCACACCTAGCTGAATCACAGTGGTAGTGACAAGGAGGTTGAATGGTTTCTTCTGAAATGGAAGATAGTGCGGTGGGGCAATGAGCCTATCATTCCCATTTAGGTTGGATACATGTCATTCATCTGCACCAGGTAGTCCCTTTAGCTCTCACAAAATCTTAATTGCATTCTCTGTGTCCTCATAAACAGCCATTTCCTGCCTCTGATTTAGGGAGAAAAGCAAATTGTTGAACCTTGAGGATTGAACCTACCACACCATAAGATAAATAGCAAAGTAAAGTGTATTTTACTCTACTTCTTTTTTTTTTTGGGTGGGGGGGTGAGGGGAGGGACAGAGTCTCGCTCTGTCACTCAGGCTGGAGTGCAGTGGCACAATCTCGGCTCACTGCAAGCTCCATTTCCTGGGTTCACAGCATTCTCCTGCCTCAGCCTTCTGAGTAGCTGGGACTACAGGTGCCCATCTCCATGCCCGGCTAATTTTTTGTATTTTTAGTAGAGATGGGGTTTCACCGTGTTAGCCAGGATGGTCTGGATCTCCCGACCTGGTGATCCGCCCGCCTCTGCCTCCCAAAGTGCTAGGATTACAGGCGTGAGCCACCGCGCCCAGTGTATTTTACTCTACTTCTAACATGTTATAACCTTAAACCAAACATACAGTCATGTATGTATTCTAGAGAACCAATATGAGCATTGTGATGCATCTGTAAAAATTTAAACAAAAAATGAATAGTGTCTATATTTCTAAAGGAATGTTTCTGAGTGTATATTTTTCAGATTTACCTTCATTTACACTGAAGGCTTGCGATGTTGAAAACAACGCTTACCATTTATGATATTCAAATGAATTCATCCTCCTGAAAGCTTTGTTAAAATACACACTTGATCTGCTCCAAACCACAATGTAGAGTGTGATCCAATTTCAATACAGATTTGTTATTTACAGGAAATTAGGAATGTATGTATAGCCAGGCGTGGTAGCTCACACATGCAATCCCAGCACTTTGGGAGGCCAAGGTGATTGGATCACTTGCGGGGAGGAGTTCGAGAACAGCCTGGCCAACATGTCGAAATCCGTGTCTACTAAAAATACAAAACAATTGGGGCTGGTCACGGTGGCTCACGCCTGTAATCCCAGCACTTTGGGAGGCCTAGGTGGGCGCATCACGAAGTCAGGAGATCAAGACCATCTTGGTTAACACAGTGAAACCCTGTCTCTACTAAAAACACAAAAATTAGCCAGGCGAGTGGCATGCGCTTTTAGTCCCAGCTACTCAGGAGGCTGAGGAAGGAGAATCACTTGAACCCGGGAGGCAGAGGTTGCAGTCAGCAGAGATCACACCACTGCACTCCAGCTTGGGCAACAGAGTGAGACTCTGTCTCAAAAAAAAAAAAAAAAACCAATCCAAAAACAGGTAACCAGGCCTGGTGGCGTGCACTTGTAACCCCAGCTACTCAGGAGGCTGAGGCAGGAGAATCACTTGAACCTGGAGGTTACAATGAGCCATTTCACTCCAGCCTGGGTGATAGAGTTTTGGTCTCAAAAAAGAAAAAATAAAGTGTGTATGTGTGTGTATATATATATATGTATGTATATATATGCATGGAAATAATCCAAATTTATTTATTTATTGCCTTGACAAATTGTATTGTAGTGCTTTTCATCTTTATCAGTACATTGATTGTTCTCACTCTTTGTCAAGCATTATTCTTTAATTAACTAGTGGGAGAATACTGTAAGACTTATATCTAAAAGACAAATTATAAAATACACACGCACACATACACACAGACAGACATACCCTCAGGAAATACTTGAAGAATATGTAGTGTAATGGGAACATGCTGAGTTTTTATGTTAAATGGCGAGACCAGGAGATGAAACTTTGAATAACCTTGATAGGAATTGAACATATGTAGTATGAGTATCATGCTATGTGGAGCATATATGGCATGCAGTAATGACAGCTATCTGGTCCCTCCTCTATGCCAAATTGTTGCTTACAATGCAACACATGAGCTAAAACATGAAGAACTCCCTGGTTGTCTGGAAGGGGGGCCAGAACAGAGACCACCAGGATTTGTAAATCCTGCTGGTCTGGGAGACTCAAGCAATTTTATGCTTGTGCCTTCATCCCCAAATTTATCCCCGGAGGGAGACAGTTTGATGCCATGGAAAGTACTGGACCTATAAATCTGAGGTAAATCATAATCATATAGACTAGGTTAGGAGGATTTTAAATTTCTGAACAAATAAGATTTCTGATGAGGGTGGGTGGTTTAGGCCTTGGTTTGATTTCAGATGGAAAACAAAAGCAAAAGTGCCACAGTAAGACCCGATGACTCCAAACTGGGCAAAAAGCAAGGAAGCAATGTTTCCTTGTGCCTTTGTCTCTGGGTGGTGTTTTTTCAGACAAGAAGGGTGGGAGAAGAGGACTCCAAGACACCTGTTGACACATCTAGAGCACTACTGCCACTGTGAGAACTTAGTTTAACGACACCCTACGCCCTATGCCTAAGCCATGTCAATGTCCTTCCCCTGAGGACAATCCTTTCACCTGTTGGGGAAGGTCTGGCCTGTGGGGAGAGGGAAGAGAGTTGAGCTCCATGCTGCTCATCCTTGCCTTCTCCTCTAAGACCACACTTTTGGAGGCCGAAGTGGGCAGATCGCCTGAGGTCGGGAGTTCGAGACCAGCCTGGCCAGCATGGTAAAACCCCATATCTACTAAAAATACAAAAATTAGCCGGATGTGGTGGCAGGCGCCTGTAATCCCAGCTACTCAGGAAGCTGAGAATCGCTTGAACCTGGGAAGGGGAGGTTGCAGTGAGCCGAGATCTCGCCATTGCACTCTAGCCTGGGCCACACAGCGAGACTCCATCTCACACACACACACACACACAGACTGGACATTGGCAGTGTCTTGGCATAGAACCTGGAGAGTGAAGGAAAGTAAATACTGTGAATGTCCCTTGGTAAAACCATGCTCCTTGTGCGCGGTACTGATGCTACCAGAGACCCAAAGACCCGTAGCAAGATGCCAGCATGTGAAAGCCTGCCAACTCTTGCTCCAAGGGGCAGGAACAGGAGACAGATGCCCACAAGAGCCTGCATGTGTGTTTGGGTGGGTTCCTGCTGTCCTGCCCACAAGTTGGGGAAAGGAGGCCCTGCCCCGGAACTTCCTGTGCCAGGACTGCCTGACAACTGCTGCTTCAATCCAAGCCCCTCACTCTCCAGGTTCTACACCAAGATACCACCAATGTCCAGGCCTCTCTTAAGACCTTAGAAGAGAAGCCAAGAAGACAGCCTGGA